TCTAAATCATGCTTTTAATTTTCAGTCTGACAGTCCTCAGTCCAGTAGTCATACCTGCTTTCTTGTGGTCCTTGCAAACAGTTCTTGTTGTTGTTGTTATTGTTTTTTGTACACAGTGTTGCCCTAGGCCCAATCCAAAGTTAATGCTGCCCTGTTTTAACATTTCCAAGGTTTGAGGTAGAAGATGCGTGAAGCAGTTCCTCTGGTATGGCTGCTTCAGCTCTGTTTTAAAGTGGCTCCATTTGCATTGTTTAGAAGCCCATAAGATCCATTTCAGACTTCTGACCTACAGAACTGTAGGAGAATAAATCTACGTTGTTTTAAGCCACGCAGTTTGTGGTAATGTTTTACAGCAGCTACAGGAAACTAATCTGTCCCCCTAAGGTTTTTGCAGGCCCCTGAATCAACCAGTCCCAGGGTTAACAGCCTAAGTCTGCCCCAGACCCACGCAAGCGCCTCAAGATAAGCTCCTGAAGCTGAGTCAGTTTGGAAAACCCTGGTGTATAAACAGGACTCTTCCATGGAGGTGGCGTCTCAGAACCGTTAAAGTGTTTATCTGTCTAGTGAGTCTTCAAGAAAAGGGTGTGCGCAGACGGTTTCCCGATACTCTAACTGAAACCCTTTACCAAGTGATAGCTCCTGGGGTTGGGTGGTCTGTGAAGGACTAACCGCCTCTACCCAGCCTATTTTCTTCAGCCTGTGTCCTCCCCTGTACAGGGCCCAGCATTGCTTGGAGAGAGGTGTAATGGAGGACCCAGAGAATAAAGGCAGAAGTCTTGGCCCTTACATTTCAAAACGGCACAGCCCAGATGCACAACTGATCAGGCTGAACCAGCACCTCTTCCCCAACACGCATACACTACATCCGCCAAACTGGCCAGAGGAACGAATGAGAAAGTTGCATGAGGCTGAGTTGCTAGGAAAATGCTTTGCCTTCTGCACCCACCTCACCCCTCCCAGCTGAGTAGGAGAGGGCAGAGGAGGGGGCATTTGTGGGAGAAAAATGCTTGAACCCCTTAACGTCTGATGGCTTGAAAATAGAGTATCACCTTCTATGCTGCGTTTATGACTTGGGAGGCAGCGAGCTGCTCAGAACTTTCTGTGTGGCACGGGCTGGCAGAAGACAGGTGCTATCTGAATGTCTGGCAGATGGGCTTGTGGTGGCAAGACCTCGGAGGCAGAGGTCACATGGCTTGACTTCGAGAGGGACTGCCCGAGTCCAGGGTGCCCAGTCTCAGCAGATTCCCCTGCCCACATGTGGCCTAGAAGTGGACTCCCAGGAATCGCTCTGAACTTAGACACTGAAAACTGGGGAGCCAACCTGCTAGGCTGGGGAGGGGAAGTCCTCTCTCATGCCCTTGGATCACTTAAGGCTCCTGGATTCCTGTGCGACTTTGGGAATTGCCTGAAGTCCAGTAATGACCAACATGGAATTTGCAATGTCAAATGCAAATGACATTGGCATTTGGAAAAGCAATTACCTGGCAGACCCAAGTTTGTGATCGAGAGGAAAGCCTGCGACATATCTGAATGCCTACTCTGCTCCAGGTATTGCAGGAGAAAGCCAGGCTGCCCCCGCACCACCACCACCACACACGCAAACCTTATTGCTCACAGTCACCGCAGTTACTTGACAGCCTGAGAGCTCTGCAGCCACTTCTCCGTTTCTAGATCAAACGTCCAAGTGTTGACCAGGATCAGTATGCCTAACAGTGCCCTCCCCATTCCTGAGAGCTCTCTGCCAGCTCCTCTACCTCCAGGCTTGGTGGAACTGTGAATTGCAACATTCAGAAGCCAAATTAAATGAATTCAAACCAAGGGGTGCCTTATAAATGGGCTGTGGCTGTGTTGCAGGGACATAATGAGCCTCAGGAAGAATTGGGGCTGAGCGTCTGAAGGCCATCATCTGAACCCACTCTCTCATTTTAATAACAAGCATTTACTGGGCACCTGTCCCAATGGGGGCTCACTTGTAGTTCTGCCCCTGCCTCAGCTCTTAGACCTCTTGTGGCTCAGATGCCCCAGGCTCCACTTGTTCAGGAGATAAGGCTACACGTGCAGGAGGTTAATGGATGACCTCACCACCCAGCAGAGGCCAAAGAAGCCCAAGATCAAGTCCAACCCAAGCACCTCCCCCTAATTGCCCACCGTTAATTGCACCTCAGTGAGTCTCACACTGATTCCCCCCCCACCCCTTTCCCATCCCAATGCCTTCACCCAGGCCCTCAGAGCTCACCCGCGCTGCACCTGGCACAGAGCAGATGGTTAGTACATGTTCGCTGAGTTACCATGAAAATCTTGTCTGTTATCTGTCTTGTCTTAGCTGGCTTAAAACAATGACGTTTCACTTCATCTGAAAAACTCCACAAAATAGTCTATAACTGGCTTTTATCAGAAGCCTGTTTAAGTACTGGTGCAAAATACAGGAGGTGTCTCTCATTTTCCTAAGATGTAAAAACCATGCAGAGAGTATGTTTTTTGATCCCAGTCATATAAATCACTATTAAAATGCCTCTTGGAATCTTCAGTTCCAACTTCAAACCTGGACTTCCACAAAATAGTGCCATTGGCTGCCTAGTCCTTTGATCCTGACCTCGGTGCTAGAAAGTTTTATGACCTTCCTCCTTTCCTTCCTTCCTTCCTTCCTTCCTTCCTTCCTTCCTTCCTTCCTTCCTTCCTTCCTTCCTCCTTCTATCCTTTCTTTCTTCCTCACTTCAGATTAATCCACTATGAGTTAGGTATGGTGTACAAGTACCAAGAGTATAGAGATGAAATGAATGCACTCTTTGCTTGGGGTGGAGTGGGAGACTCAGAAAAGCAAACAAGCACAGCAAAGTGTTGAGGGGCCGTTAGTAGGTGACATATAAAGAAAGCAGCATGTTTCTGCAAGTATATACAAGGAGACCTGCAAAGGGTAGTCACTGCATCCCTGTTTATACAGGAAACAGCCAAGATATCCATTAGTAGGCAAATAGTGAGAAAAGCTGTGGCATGTATCATCTAAAAAATATCTGCCACTTTCAAAATAATAAACTAGGTCTACATGTAGAGTTACATGAGTAATTCTCAGAACCACAATGTTGAGTGAAAAAGGTTGCAGACCGACACATACAGTGAAATTGCTTTATGTAAATTTAAAAACCCAAAATAGTTCCCATATACTGTTGTAGACATAGGCTTCTGTAGTCAGGCTATAAACATGGTCAGGAGATACACACCAAATCAGAACAGTGTTTTCCTCTGAAGAGGAAGGGATATAGGAGAGCTTGAGAGGTACATTATGAAGCAAATATCCCAAAAGTCAGTACTGGTTAAATCTGGGTGGTGCATACATGGGCTTTGTTTCATTCTTCATATTTTTACATATATTTCAAATATGTACATCACACTAACCCAACTTCGAGGTTTTAGTGTAAAAATAACCATAGACAAAAAACATGTATGTATGAATTTTTAAAACTGCGTGTGGGTCTGGAATTTGGACAGAAGCCAGAAAAGAAGCTGTAGAGTTGGGGCCATCTTTACCTAAAGCTCAAGTAACACCAGGGAGGCCAGTGTTCTTGGCCAGGCCCCATGCACTGAGTCATGGCGCAGCAGTGAGCAAATACCTTCCTTATTTTAAAGGAAGGAGGTGGAGAAAGAGAAGGTAGAGATGGGAAAAGAAGGGCTCAGAGGGGGACCAAAGACAAGGAGGGATGTGTAAACTTTTCCAGGAAAGGAAAAAGTTTAACAAGTTATCAGGAGGGCTGGCCGAGTGGCTCAGTTGGTTAAGAGCTTGCTCAAGAGTTTGAGCTCTGAGCAACAGCGGTTTGATGCCCACCCTGAGCTGAGCTGCCGCTGAGCTGCCAACAGGTGGCAGGATGGCTCCGCTAAAAAAAAAAAAATTATCATGAGAAATGTAAGCTACTCAATATATAGAAATAGAATAACACAGTGAATCCCCATGTACCCATCCTGAACCTCTCCTTGAATTAAATAATTGTCAAGATTTTGCCAAATTTCTTTCTTTTATTCCCTTTTTTGTGGTTTGCTGAAGTCATTTGGAGCAAATCCCAGACACCATGTATTTCCATTCTTACAAACTGCACTATGCATTTCTACAGTACCCGGACATTGAGAACGATCTATAAGGAGGGAAATGTTAGGAGCACTAAATGTTGCAGACGACTTGAGAAAGAAGAGGATGGAGGGGCAGTCATAACATTTCCAGGTGCCAGGACCGAGCACGTCTTCAGGTGCAGTGCAGCAGGAAGGGGTGCTGACCTCACAGGCACCGCTGGGCTTGGCAATAGGAGTTCCTGCAACGCCTTTGAGATAACCAGATGCAAGAAATGCAACTCATCATTTCAAGAAGTGTGATGATAAAAAAGAAGAGAAAGGGGATGGCAGGGATGAGGAAAGTATTTTTAGGAAGAAGAGAGATCAATATTTGGAGGCTCAGATGACAGATATGAAAAAGGAAGTAAAATTAATGGAGGAATATATTCAGAGACCAGAAGCGAATGAGAGAAAGAGTATAGTTGGATTAGTTCTTCAATAAACAGGAATGAAGTTACTCGAGCATCTAGAGGTGGGAGGAGAGACGGTTAGCGTTCTTTGAGGACACCAAGTTTGTCATTTGGTACATGGGAGTCTGGAATTGCTTGTGGGTGAAGAGACGAGGAGTCAAGCCAGATTATGATGTATTGAGCACCTGCTGCAAGTCAGGCACATTCCTGATCTCATTTAATCCTCGTTGCACACTTTATAGCTCAGGAAAGTGGCCTCAGAGATAGTAAGCACTTGCTCCCACACACTGAGTAAACAGCAGAATTGTTCTTACCACAGGCCCTTCCCTGCGACCCTGAGGGCCCATTGTCCTTGAACTGCAGGACTCCCTGGGGATGCCACTCATCTCCCAGAAAACAGCCTGCTGGCTTGGCCCAGTTGTGTATGGTACCTGGAAACCTGGATGGTGCAGAGGTGGCCCAAGGTTGAGGGGTTCAGGAAGTTAGGGATACCTTTCTGTCTTCTTGACGTATTATTGTGTCTGGAACTCCTGCTCCTGTTCCATTCTCTCCCTCATTTTTGTGGGGATGGAAAAAACTGTTGTCTCCCCTCAAGCTTCTTCTGGTTGGTCCAATAACCAAATCTACATGAGACAGGTTAACAAGAGAAAATTATCACATTTAATTACACTAGCACGTATGGAAACTTCACATACAAGAAAAAGGCAGAGACACCCCGCCCTCATATATGAGAGGATCAGGGACAGAAAAAGAAAATGAGGTCGATATGGCATTCTGAGCTAAGGATGCAGTAAGGCACCTTGGGGCTTCAGAGGTAAGGAAGGTCATTGCAGGATGATAATAAGGGCTGTTGTTTGGAACCAAATTTTGTATTTGTAAATTTATAGTCTTTTTTCCTAAAGAAGATGCACCCAACCAAATAAGCTTTAGGTCCCATAAATAAGCTTTAGGTCTGGATCTATCCCTAACAGAGTAGATAAGTCACAAACTAAAATCATGGCCACTAAGCGGACCAACCAGGGTTTGAATCCAGAGTCCAAGTGCTGGCCTCACATTGCATCTTAGACTCCAACATGTACCCATTCTCCTGGGGCTCTTGTTAAAGTGCAGATTTTGCTTCAATAGATGTGTGTTGGGGCCCATGATGGCACAACTCTGCTATTCTGTGGGCCACACTCTGAGGAGCCAGGGTCTCTAAGCTGATGTGCAATTGGTCAACTCTCATGCAGAGTGATTTGATCACTGTAATTGCTTCCTTATGAATAGATTCTATTTCACCCAATTTCCTCACTAACAATTCCTTTTCGCTCACTCCAGCCTGTAGATGTGATTGGCATTAAGAAGTTTTCTGAACACCATGTTTCACCACCCAACTTCCCTCATACACTTTCGTGGAGCTCCTACCGCAGGCCGAGTATTTCCTGTGTAAGGCAGCATGTTCCCATCTGTGGACAAGAACATTGCTGTTCAGAAAGGTTATGTGACTTGCCGGAGACAGCAGGGTCAGTGGTTGAACTCACATCTCCAACCCCACTTACCTGGTGGCAGGTGGGCTAAGTGAGGACTCAGCCCTACATACCCAGGAAGAACATCCCCTTTAGCCCCCTATCCTCGGTACAGCCTTTCACACCTCTCCTCCTCCTCCCTGCAGGTTTTCTCCATCTTAGGACTGTCCCTAGATGCAGCCTCAAGAGATGCAAGATGAGAGGGTGAACACTGGCGTTTCCAATGTGACGAATATGACTGAACTGACCTCCATTTGCCTGGCTTTCTCCACCTTTGGGCTAGATTTCCTTAACCTCACTGAGATCAGTTTCCTTGTCCATTAAATGGGCTTCATGTAACTCAATTCATGAAGTTTTAGGGGGAATAAATGAGGCATTCTATGACGAGTTACATGATACTACTCATGTTGGCCCATAGCCAACATGGAAGAGGCCACTGCTGTCCCTGGGCTAAGCTGACCTTGGCAATCAGGTGAGTACTCCTTACAGCATGTACCCTGGGCTTCCTTCTTCTTGATATGTGTTAAGAACAGACTGCATTAGAACACAAGGACATCTGGAAACATCTCCAGCCCTGCAGAGTGCTGGGCAGAGGCTAAGCGCTTGATGGCAGCTAATTGTTCCTCGACAGATGTCAGGTTTGCCTGTCTGACTCTGTTAGTGTGTTGGCAGCTATACAGCAGGCTGACAGCCTCTGGCATTCTCTTCCTGTCTTGGTCTTCCCCAATGCACTAAAACTCCCTGGCATGTGGCTTCATCACCACAGGCCCCTCTGATGACAACACACTGTGGTGATTTTATGTGTTGTCTTTAGGGCAAATGTAGCACTATTTTTTTTTCAGAGACTTCAGACATTTGTCCTATGGTTACATTTTCCAGGAGAAAATGCCAGCAAATGGGGGCAGGCGGTGCTTCCTAGCTGTCCCGATCCTCTGGAGAGAGGCTCCTGCTCATCTGCACTCCCTAGATCATGCACCATAATGGCTGTGAACTCAGCGTGGTCCTGCCTCAGTTTCCATAGCCCAGACGGTAGGCTCTGTAGTTTGACTTCCATGACTAGGTGCAGGCTGGCCTGGATTTGGGTTATTTTAAGCTGCCCCTGCAATGCAGCTACAAATCCAGAAGAAGAAAAACACAAAATCTACTCACCAGGGGAGAGCTCGCTAAGCACACGCTGTCACTGGTGCAGAGAATATGATTACAGTCACCCCAAGAGATTCATTCTGCTGAATTGCTCCTTTGAGGGCACCCGTCCCCTTTCTTTGGTGCCAATACAATTAAAAAGAAAAAAAAGACATGGTAAATTTCAAAATGCCACAGGTAGAAGCAAACTGCTTCAATTAGTTCCTTGGTTATTTGTTTAGGATTTTATGTATCTCATTAGAAATATTTTGCAATGACTTCCTGGCCCTGCCCTTTGTGGGGAGGGGGAGTTTAAGAACAGAGGGAGGATATGACCTCAGCTGTGTTCCATGTGAAGTATTAGATTCGGGACAACAACAGCACAGACCGAGCCCTGGGAATGCCATGTGCCCATTCACCTATTTCTTAATTTGGTGTCTGAATCAACAGGCTTTAGCCAGAAAGAGGAAGAGGGAGAGCCGTGAAATTCTTTTCCTTGGAAAGTTTTGTGTAAAGGACATCTGTTAGCACCGAATGACAGACAGAACCCTGGGCTCAAGAGGATAAATCCCACAACGCTGAAGTTCCTTCTCATCGTCACTTCTGTCAGTCTGCCTTTACAGATTCCATACTATTTCTTCTGCTTCATTCATTCATGTGTCCTTGCATCCATTCAGCACACACTCAGTAAATGTGAACTACGTGCCACGACTGCGCTGGGCACTGGGGATGCTGTCCCTGCCCTCCCATTGCTTATGAGTCAGTGGGGGAGACAGATGTACATGTGGAGCAGTCAGTGACACTCTCAGGAAGTCCAGGGTCCAGGGTGCGTGGAGAGCACTTACTTCGTCTAGCGGGGCAGACGGGAGTTCCTGGAAAGGACCTGGATAAGTAAGTGGGGGCTACCTAGAAAGGGGCTTTGGAGAAAGAGCAAAGATGTTTAAAGGGAGATTAGAAAAAGTGTGATCAGTCGATGGACTGTGGAAACCTTCTTTCCAATTGCCTCTGTCTTTAGTTTGAGATCCATTTCCCTTGAATGCACTGTGGACTGGGAGGGAGCCCTGTGGAGGATGCATATGATGTGCTGATCTTTGCCTCAAAAAGGGCGTGGGTGACACTGGGGGCTGCTGTGGGAGGCTGCTGTCCCCACATGAAACAGAAGAGAAGGCTGTTTGCGGAGCAGTCATAGGCAGCAATGCAGAGGGTTCATGAAAACACCAGTCACAGGAGCCCTACATCCCTTTCATTTATTCAGTCACTTGGAAGTATTGATGGAATACCTGCTCGGTGCACCGTGCTGGATTCTGAGATTATAAGCAGTGAACACATCTGGATAGCTGCCCTTTTGGACCTTTATGTAATGCTGAAGGAAGGGGACAACCAACAGACAAGGAAATCTATGGTTGGTCAGATGGCCATGGAGAAAGACAAAGGGAGGAAATGAGACAGCGCAAGGGTGGGGTGGGATTTGGGGAGCACACTGGCAGGAGACATTTGAGCAAATACTCGAGAGAGTAAGCCATGTGGTTCCCTGAAGCCAGCGGGTTCCAGGCAGAGGAAATGGTACTTGCAAAAGCCGAGGCAGCAGTGTGCTTATTGTGTCCAGGGAGAGGTGGGGGCGTGGCTGGAGAGGAGAGGAAGCTGGGCCAGGGCCCTGGCAGAGGAGTGGCATGCCGTGACATGTTTAATATGATTGTCCACCATCAGCTCAGTGGAGGCCCAAGCTTCAGAGCAGCAAACTGGTGCCTGGAGAAGGAAAGTCAGGGGCCTACAGAAACTGATTAAACATAAATATTAAAAAGAACATCTAGTGCGTGCAGGACATTTTGCTAGGTAGTTTGGTCCTCACCCTGCAGGAGTGAGCCCTCAGGGTGAGTGGAGGATATGTGCAAGCATGGGGACGACACCTCAGTGCAAGGCAGTACATCACACGTGTTCAAAAAGGTGCAGTGTCTCAGAAACGGAGCACTGAGCAGCTGTTTACATGGACGGGTGAGAGGAGCCCTCACTGTGGGCCAGCACTCTTTTAGGTGCCTCGGGTCTTCCTCTGGGGATGGTTGCACATGGGGTAGGCAGAGGTGAGCCACTCTGCCCTTTCCTGGAGGGTTTAATCTGCAAAGTATAATATCTCATTTGAGAGAGGCTAAGTAAACATCTTTTCAATAAAGCAAAAGTCAATAAGAAAATTTCTATTTTTTTTATAAAACTATGTACCAAGCTTTGCCATGGGGAGAAATCTCAGTCAAGCATCCAAATCAATGATTTCAGATCACAAACACTGAAACACCAAAGTGAGAAGGTGGTGGGTGCTTCAATTAGCTATTGTTCCTTAACAAATGACCCCAAAACTGAATGACTTAACACAACTACTTGTTATTCTTGACTCTGGGAGGGTCTTCTGTGGGTCTTGCCTGGGCTCACTGGTGTGGCTGCGTCCAGCGGAAGGCTCAGCTTGGGGATGGGCACAGCTGGGATGTTGGGTGACCTGGGCCTTTCTCTCCATGCAGCATTGTTTTAAAACATACTCGTAAGTTTCATTGTTAAACAGGTATGGTGAGGCCAACAGATCAGGAGATGATTTCATCGAAAAGGCTGTTACACTCATAGTTCTAAAAAGGAGGCATGCCATGCCCTTCCCAAAAGGAGACATACCATACCCACGCCTGCAGAAACACCAGGGTCAGTGAGAAGGCAGAGGGAGTGAATGGGACAGGTGGGCAAGAGCCTTTACTGTGGTTTCTGTAGGAAGAAGTGGGTGAGTGGGTAGGCATGTTTGAAATTGACAAGTTTGAATAGTTTCAGCAGGCCCTAGGGCATAAGGACTGTCCCTAGTTGTCTGGTACTTGGCCCTGGGGTGATTAGGGTAGATGGGTAGTGGCCCAGAGTGTGAGAGCTGGATAAAGGAGGTGATTGGCATGTGGGTCCTGGATTGGTTGGTTTTGTGTATGAAAGGCACATCATGGGAAAGTTGCTTTCTATCTCTAAGAATCGGCTAGCCCTGGGAGGAGCAGTCCCTCAAGGTCAGCAAGCCCGCTATGTCAGAGCATCAGAATACAGAAAACAAAAGACATGGTAAATATGGTGTCAGGACCTCTCTCTCCACATGGTCTCGTTAAGGGCTCTAGAGTGACCTTCTTAAATGATGACAAGGGCAGCTGAAGGGAGCAAGAGCAAAAGCCATGAGTCTCTTAAGGCCTACTACGCGTGGAAGGTGTGCCCCACCACTTCCACTGCATGGCACTGGTCACAGAAGTCACAGCGCTGTCCCAGATTCATGCTCTGGATGAGAGGAGAGGAACACTTACTGTGCAGGATGGGAGGGTTGTTGTAGCCCTCTTGACAAATAATCTATCCCGGAAGGTGTGCTTCTAGAATGTTGCCAAGGCCTTTCTGAATCGATGGAATCCAAAAGGAAGGGCAGAAAGAAGTGGAGTTCCAGCTGATTTGCATTTGCTGGTGTGTGGACAGGATGTAACTCTCTTCCCACAATTGGTCCAGCGTCAAAGGTCAGTTGAGTGTTTGCCCAAGAGCCCACAGGGACCTTTTGTGCAGGAGGGTTGGCATGGAGAGTTGGTATCCCTCAAACCGCCTCAAGGCCTGGCATCCAGGGAAAATGACTGCCTGCTCAGACAGGGAACCTAGGCCTCTTTGCAAACTGTTTGAATGCCTTAGGGCCAGTCTCTCTTGTGTTTTCTTATCAGGAGTTAAAGTAACCTTATAACGTCTCCTAGAGAAGCACAGATGTTTTAATATAAAAGTGCCATTTGTAAAGCATGTGGAATTGGGCCAATAATAGCCAACGTTCACATCACACTTTGGAGTTGGTGAAAAACTTTCTCATATGTTCTCAAACGAGTGGGTGTCATCATCCTAGTTTCTCATATAAAGACACTTGAGGCTGTAGGGTTTCAGGGACTTAATGGGATGTGTAAATCAGTTTGGGGCCCTAAAAGCTGCCCTGGGCCCATGGGTGAGGTTATTAGAGCCCTATAAATTCACCCCCACTTCACCTGGGTGCTTCAGTGCATCACTTTGGTCCCCTATTATCCACCCTTCTGTCTGGCTGTCCTCATTCAGAAATTATTTCTCCCTTTGAATCAGATATTTCAGAGAGTCCCCTCAGTACACCAAGGAGTTAACCTTTGCCAGGGAATTCTGCTCTGACACCCCCCAGAGATAGCCCAGCCCTGCCCACTGCTCCCTTAGCTCTATCTCCAAGGACCCCAGCTGGCCCCCCATTTACTGGGAGAGCATTTCACTCCCTCGAGAACACACAGCCTGTGAAAAGCCAAACTGGCTCTGAAATCTGGACTCCTGAATTACCTCTGCAATGCAATGATGGGATTCATTCTGTTGAGTCATTTGTTCTGCTTCTGAATCTGTGCTAGACACCCACCTGTCTGCTTCAGAGCAACAAAGGAGGCTTCCTCTATCAATCCAGTTCAAGGAAAAGGAAGCTGAGTCATTGCTGAGTCACTCCCCAGCTAGTTCCATGGGCCACTCTCCTCAGATATGTATACACATTAACTAACCAAGGATAATGAGAACAGTCTCTCACCGTTAAATCCTGTTTCTTTGGAAACCAGAGTGCAGTCTTTTCAATGCTGCAAAGCCTGAGCTCACATGCTGCATTTTCTAGAACATAGAAGCTTCTGCAGTCTCTACAGGGACCTAGGGGTGGGGGGTGGTCCCACGGTGGCAGCTGCACTTCGGGACTCCATTTCCAGCTTGGAGGCTGAATGCTATTAGGACTTGCCGGTTGCCTCTGCACTCTCAGTGCTTCCTTTGTGAACAGAGGGAAAAAAATCTCAGAGAGCTGCTAAAGAGGAATCCAGGCTTCCCTTAGGATGCCTTGAAGATGCTGTCCAAACCAAAGGGTCCCAAGAGGGCAAAGGCATCTCCCCGGCTGAAGGGAGAGCCTGGTGCAGGTGCAGCCCACATGGTGAGTGGGACTCGCTGCACCCAGATGTGGAAGCAGTGGGCGCTGAGACTGCTCTGAAATCGTGGACTTCTGTGTTTGTTGCTCCTGAGGTCCTGCTTCTGGGCCCTGCTCCTGCTGATGGCTCGTTTCTCCAGAGGAGGACATTCTCTTTCTCCCTGCACAAGCCACCTTCAGCCTGACTTTTCTTCTCCTGCTTAGGGATCTTCTCTGCCAATTTCTTGGTGGTGTCTGCCTTTCCCCTTAGGGTTCTTAACCAGGGGTGATTTTCACCTTTCCCAGGAGACATTTGGCAGTATCTAAAG